AGCTTTCTTTCTTTCGGCGGAGGTGGTCGGGCCTCGTTCTTCTTTCTCCTGGCAAGGCGGACGGGCGGGCCTCTCACCCTCCTCCTCCGGGTCTTATCCCCACCACAGCCCTGTGAGGTAGGCCAGGCAAGAGAGAGAGAGAGAGAGTTGTGTGTCTCTGTGTGAGACTGTCTGGCAGCTCAGTCTCCTGGATGGTTTCCGGAGTTCAGAGCCCCGACCCTCTTTTTAACCCTACAAATGCTGAAGGAGCTCCTAAGACTCCCTTAGGCAGTTGCTGCCCCTTAGAGAGGGCTTTCTCTCTCTCTCTGTGTCTGTGTATGTATGTGAGAGGGGTTTTATTGTTGTTTCTCCCTGTTCCCCCCTTCCCCGGCACCCTCGCCCAAAGTCACCCAGTGGCTTGGAGGGCTGCCCTGGGGGCTCGAACCGGGCGCTGGCAGGCCCTGGGCGCTCCTCCTTCTCCTCTTCCGCCACACCCTTCCCTCTCGTCACAGCCTCGTGAGGGAGGGGAAGTTGGTCGGACCCTGTGAAGAAGGAGGCCCGGGACCTTGGGGTGTCCCCAGCCTTTGGCACGGGGGGGGGGGTCCTCTGCGGCTGCAGAGCTTAGGCAGACTGAACTTGCATCTCTGACAAGGGGAAGAAACGCTTCTTGCTGGGCTGGGGCAACTCTGTGAAGAAAAGTTCACTTCTGCCTCTTCTGTGGCGCTCTTGGGAGGCAGGAAAAGTTCGGATTTTTGTTTTTTGTTTTTTAAATTGAAAAGTACAAGGGAGGCAAAGGATAGACAAATCAGAGACTGGCGGTTGTTTGCAGCTGGGGCTTAAAAGAACAGACAGCTTTTTAAACGGCTTGGAGTTGACTGCTCATCGTCGTCGTTTAGTCGTGCCCGACTCTTCTTCGTGACCCCATGGACCAGAGCACATCAGGCTCTCCTATCTTCCACTGTGTCAAATTCATTCTGGTAGCTTCGATGATATTGTCCAACCATCTCATCCTTGGTCGTCCCCTTCTCCTCTTGCCTTCACACTTTCCAAACATCAGGGTCTTTTCCAGGGAGTCTTCTCTTCTCATGAGATGGCCAAAGTATTGGAGCCTCCGCTTCAGGATCTGTCCTTCCAGTGAACACTCAGGGTTGATTTCCTTTAGAATTGATAGGTTTGTTCTCCTTGCAGTCCAGGGGACTCTCAAGAGCCTCCTCCAGCACCACAATTCAAAAGAATCAATTCTTCGGCGGTCTGCTTTCTTTATGGTCCAGCTCTCGCTTCCATACATCACTACAGGAAAAACCATAGCTTTGACTATGCGGACTTTTGTTGGCAAGGTGATGTCTCTGCTTTTTAGGATGCTGTCTAGGTTTGTCATCGCTTTCCTCCCAAGAAGCAGGAGTCTTTTAATTTTGTGGCTGCTGTCTCCATCTGCAGTAATCATGGACCCCAAGAAAGTAAAATCTGTCACTGCCTCCATATCTTCCCCTTCTATTTCCCAGGAGGTGATGGGACCAGTGGCCATGATCTTAGTTTTTTTGATGTTGAGTTTCAGACCGTTTTTTGAACTCTCCTCTTTCACCCTCATTAAGAG